CACAACACACCACACATACTTATAACACCATATGTACACAACACCAGCATCCGCGCACACAAACACCTGACCAGGGAGTGTGTATCGTCTCTCACACCCTCTCTATCCTCCACTGGGTCAACACTGTACTGAACAAACATATTTGTAACAACATATGTATATCACACAAGCACTCGACCACACAAGCACATCTGACTACAGATGATCATTCAAGCGTACCCATGACCAGGGCGTGTGTATTGTCTCGCGCATTCTCTCTATCCTCCACTGGATCAATGCATTCGACCTTGCGCTTACGTGGGTTCACAGGGGCACTACCTGCGTCATTACCCTCATCTACATCCGTACTATCTGGCACACCCGGCGAATCCTGTGTGCAGCATGGTGTATATAAGTGTTTGTAGTATACTTCCGACATTCGGACCAGTTAGATAACTCTGGAGTATGTATGATATGGCTTTATCGAGTATATACTAATATGCGGGTTAGTATGTGGTTTAAAATGAACTCACACCTGCGAACCCATCAATTGCTCGTACAGGGCTACCTTTTTGGCATACAACCCAATATTACACTTGCAAAAAATCTAAAAAAACATTTCTGCTCACATTCAATCCAATCTCACGCCTGCGAAACCATCATTTGCTCATACGGAGACTTTTTTTTACGCGCAAAGGACCCGATTTCACGCATGCAAAGAAATCCAATATATATATATATGCTCACATTCAATTCAATCTCACGCCTGCGAACTCATCAATTGCTCATACCGGGCCATTTTGAGGCGCATACAACCCGATATTACGCATGAAACCCCAACGTTGCAGTTCGCAAATAACAGAACTACAGCTCTAACCTTGAACAAAGATCCAGCACACCGCAAGTGGATGTGGTTGAAACACCAATCACCGGTTAAAGGATGGTACAATAACACATATATCACTCACTTGGATATGGTGCCAGCCTTCGGCGAATACAGACTCGCGCAGTACAAAGGCAATCTCCTGCAGTAGGGATAAAGAGATGAGGTTAGTACATGAGCATGAAAGTCACTTGAGCATGCGCTATGGATAGAGAGGTGAAACTGTTGTATGAGTATGAAAGACACTTGATTGAAGCATTTGCGAATGAAAAGCAGTTATTCGGTATGTAATACTTGCAGTGATTGTGCTCTCACGTGTAGCATGAAGGTGAGGTATGCCGGTCCCCAGCCAATGATACTTCAGTATACAGTACAAAGTACAAGGCGCTTGCAAGAATTGATCCCAAACACACCCCCGAAATCCTCGGATTCGAAATACGTGGCAGCAGCAACGGCCCCAGCAACGGCGCGGTGCCAAAGCGGGACGTCCCGATATTCGTCATGGTGCACATGGTCAGGGAGTGCTGAACGGTGCAGGCGGCCAGGCGACACACTGCACGCTTCACAACGTATGGTACAGGCAGGTCGAGTGACTGTGTGAGGAGTGTTGAGAAGCTGCCGTGGGCTAGTAGCGCTACCCCCTCTGTGGGTTGAGCCGTGGCTATGGCATCGATGGACTGGGGACAAGAAACAGCGTTTTTTGAGAGAAGGTTAGAGTATAGCCGACATGGTATGGATCAAATGAAGGGTGTGGCTGGAGTGTGCACCTGGTATCATATACCCCATTGCTTGTCAACACTACACTTGCTATCGACGTATTGCGAATATCGGTTGGTGATTTCCCATACTAAATGGTACCCTAATGTGGCACCTAACGTGTAGTTGTAAGGACGCACTGTAGTACACATCCGAGTCAACGGAGACTGCGCGATACTACATAAACGCACCTACCTCAGACCTACAACCACACACCTTGATGTGATATTCTAAGGCTCATAAGTGGTACTGGTACGATAGAGAGCACCAGTAGACGAACGTGTGCGCTCATGACAATGGACTGAGATACACATACCTGAGCCACGGCGACTGCGAGCGTGTGGCTGAAGATGGGGTCTGTGTGGCGCAGTTGCAGACATGCGTCGCTAGTAGTCAGCTGAGTGGAGCAAGGTATTGCATGACCAGATAAGGGAATAATTCAATCGACAGAGTAGTGATCATAAGATTGATATAAAAGATGAATTGGGAGGGAAATCAGTAGGAGCAGTTTTAGGGCTTGGGTTTTAGGGTTTAGGGACAATGTTGCAGTTTAGATAGTCATAGGCCAAGTACAAAGAGAACATATACAGTTACCAGTACGAGAACGTAAAAGTAGGCATCTGGCGCCACCCGTGGGTGTACAGTCCACGCACACGCGCACATACACTACAACGCAACTAGTCGTGCTACACAAAGACACGTTGACGTATATA